CGACAGCGAGGGGGTAGGGCAGGGGACAGGTCGGCGGGCAAAGGGAAGGTGAACGGATCTGGTTCGGCGAGGCAAAGGGAAGATGAACGGATCTGGTTCGGATGGGGGAGATAGGTCTGGAGAAGGGGTGGGGGTGAGGGTAGGTGTGTACTTACCTGGGTTCCGCCGCCGCCCGCCGCCGTCGGACTACCGTCTAAACCGCCGGCAGGGAGGACGGGTGCTGTTGACGCACCGGCGACTACTCCGAGGAAGAAGAGTAACCGTTAGAGATGGCAGAGCAGAGGAGAGGAGAGAGAAAGAGCAGAACCCCTACTCCGAAGAGTTGACTATGAGTGTAATTTGTCTAAAATACCCTCTCACTCCTTCCTTTCTCAGCCCTGCCACCATCAAGTCCCCACCACCGCCTCCACCGTAGCCCCTCCCCTCCTCGCCGCCAGCCCCACCGTTGCCGCCAGCTCCACCATCGATCCATTCTCCGACCATCTCCACCAGCCCCCTCCACCATAATTGCGCCAGTCCCACCATCATCGTCATAGCCCTACCATTAGATCTCAAAGAAATAAAGAATGATGAGAAAGAAGTTAGAAAAAGAGTAGAAGAAGATTGCATATCTAGACTTACCATTGACGCAACCTCACCATCGCCGCCACCCTACCATTGACGCCACCCCTACCATCGACGCCACCCTATAATAGAAAGAAGGAAGAGAAAGAAAAGAAGAAGAAGAAAAAGAAGAAGAAGTGGAGATCGAGACTCACCATCATCCCAGCTAACACCACCGCCGTCACCACCATCGCTGCCATGCTCGGATCTAGAAGAGAGATGGTAAAGAAATAAGAGGAGATAAAGAAGAGCAAAGATGAAGGAGGAAAAGTGAAGAAGAGGAGGAGATGACGGAGGAAGAGAGAGGAGGAGAAAGACGAAGAAGAAGAAGAAGAAGAAGAAGAAGAAGAAGAAAGAAAAGAAAATTGAGTGGAAGCGAGGAGGAAGAGGAAATGACGGAGGAAGAGAGAGGAGGAGAAAGAAGAAACGAAAAAAGAAGAAGAAAAAGTGGAAGATAGGAGAAACAACATGGGGTAGAAAGAGGAGAGAAGGAAAAAAAAAAAGAAAAGAGGGGTATTATTGGAAGGGGTAATTTAGGAAGAATTGGTATAAAAAAGTAGAATGGGAAGATTATTTCCGGGCGGAAAAAAAAGGTAGAGTGGGAAGATCTTTTCTGGACGGAGGGAGTATTTCCATTCCACCGTGTGTTTGGTTCCGTTAAGAAAGTTTGACAAAATCTATTCACAATCTATTTTCTTTATTATTCAATTTTAAAGCAAATGAAACATAACTATTTATAAACTACACTTTATAGTGGCATTCCTTCTAGCTTCCATGTTCGTAGATGTGAATCAACTTGTCCAACTGATTTCTTAAATGTCTGAGTTTATTTAGGGCATGAAACAACTCGTTGTATGAGTAATTTGGTATAGCTTATAAAGTTTTTTATTAAAAAAAACTCTATTTCGAACAAAACTAGTTAATTTTCATCATTTTAATGTTTTTACAAAGAAAAAGTATCCTAAACAAGTCAAATGTGTTTTAGATGAATCAACAAATAAACTTAAAAACAGTATTCCATCTCCCCCAATGCCCCACTATATTTGTCATTTTTTTTACCATTTTGACTGTCCCATTAATTTTGTCACATACCATAGGGGAAAGGGGATCTCTTGGAAAAAGCCTCTAGGGGCAAGGTATGTGCACACACCCTCCCCACACCCTACTATCTGGGATCCAACTAGGTTGTTGTTGTTGTACCACATTTGGTGATTTTGTGTGCTCCCATTGATTCTTACCTTTAAATATCAATATCAACCCTATAATTCTAGGTTTCTTAAATTGCATGCAACTACCTATGTCCCAAAATAGTGGGATGCGAGGAGTAATTGTTTTTAATGACTTTCAATAGTCATACTTTACCAACTAAAACATTGTGTTTGAAAAAATAGGCTCGACCTATGGGATAGATCATAGATGGGGCACAGGCGCACAACAACAACCAAGAATAATCTTTGATTATGTTGGAGCCTTTTGGGGTTAGATGTAAGCAAACTTACCTCTGTAAAATATGAGAGACTGTTTTCGTTAGGCCCTTGGTAAAAAGCAAGAAGCAAGGGAAGTTTAATGTGCCTAAAATTTAATAGAAAATACCCCATCCGTCTTGAAATCTATTCTCATTTGACTTTTCACATTTTCCAATGCAACACTTTGATCATTAATATCTCTATTTATTTATGAATATATATATTATAAAAATAGAATATTTCAAAACTATGTTTTAAAATTTATCTATTGATTTCAAGTGTATATAAAAAGGCAATGTATTTTTTCCACATATTGTGGTAAAAGTTTAAAAATGTTGAGCAAGAGAAGTCAAATGGAAAAGGATAATTTTCTAACAGGTTGAGCAAGAAGCAAGGGAACTTTAATGACCCATTTTGAGTTTTCCATTGTTTACTTGAAGCCAAAACATTTTCCAAACTTACTCTTTTAGCTCTACTGTCAATGGACAAGGTGTGATAGATAAATTAAGGGACAAATAGAGTATAATGGATAATTTAGGACTAGGAATACTAAGATGTTCAGGGTTGGACCAAAACATTAACAATGGAGCTAAAAGAGTCATCACTTACAATGTTTTAGTTTCAAGCACATAATGGACTAGTGAGAATGTCACATTAAACTCTCATTGCTCTAACTTTCTACGAAACTTTGGAAAGTGAATGCAGCAATGCATTTAAGTTCTCACAAAAATACTCTCTTTGTTTTCACATGGTAAGACTGCATATATTTTCAACCCCAAAACGAAGTTGGGATTATATTGTATCGTTGTGGGAAGAAACTATCAGGCTATACAATCAAATGTTAGAAAATCTAGAAAAGATTATGGGAGTAGAAAGACTATACCTCACCGCCATAAAGTGTCATGAAGTAGAAATGTTTATGACCCTTGGATGCATACTCACTTTGTCGTTTCTCATAAGCATTCATATCAAGCACCTATAAAGCAAGAAACTACTATACATCAGTAAAATATATATTAAGTGGAAAGTATGTACTTGTGCAATACGTATGCCCATTGGGAAATCAAATTTATGAAAATGGTGCAGAAATTCAGGTGGCTATAACAGATCTCATCTTAACATTTGCAGGAGTTTGCAAGTGCCCTTTTGACTAATTCAAATGCTATTAACTTCATTGTAGGCTCAACCAACTCAATAAATTACAGAACTGGTTTTTTAAAGAGTGAATAAAAATTACATATTGGTCGTCTAGAAACAGCCGCTCTATGTTTTAAACATTGGGGTCAGACTGCGTACATCCGACCCCCCTTACCCAGCAATGGGGGGAGGGATCCGTTGAGGCACTGGGGTAATGTTGTTGTTGTTGAATAAAAATTACATATGATAGATTCAAAATTGTGAAACTTTGATTCTTTAGTAGACAGAGGATGTGTTCTCTTTGCGTGCAAAATATGATTTGATCTGAACTATTTAGGATTTGACTGGTCTGATGACCTCTGATCTAGTGTCAATGATATGAATGTTGGTCTGGTCTGGTCTGAACCCTATGTAACATTGCTCCCTCACTCGAATTTGAGCTTGCCCACAAACTCAAAGTGTGGAGGCGTAACCTCATCTGCTCATTTGGTGGGTCTTCCCCTGCCTCATAATCGTCTTTCACCACAATGAAGAACAACTGCTTGCACTTGCGCATCGTAGTCCATTGCTCATCACATTTGTAGCAAGGTCACAGGACACACAATGCCACTATCTCCGCCTTATTCAGTCGATGGGTTATCATGTTCCCTTTCTTGGTGAGGCTGAGCTATTGGGGGCTTCTCATCCCTCTTGGTTTTGCAATGTGACTCCTGCAATTTGTGTCCTCGGGTGGGTCACCATCGGGGCGCAGAGCAATGTGCTTTCCAAGGTTTGGGCCAGATACATTGTAAAACCCAAATTCCATGGTTTGGCCATCTGGACATCAATCCTCAGAGCTGGGTCACAATAAAAAGGGCTAGTTGATGTTGCAATTGAACCCCAGTGATCCGTGCCAAGGCTGGACATGTGTGCAGTAGTCTTCAACAGTCCCGGCTAACATCAAGAGCTTCAGATCGCAAACCGGGTCCATGTCTAAAGGTGGCACAAAATGCTTAATGCAAAATTCTTTGAAGGTATGAGCCCGCCGTTTCTTCCTCCTCCATCATCTAATCAAACCAAAGTTGTGCATCCTCCAGTAAGTAGAAGGAAACAGTACCCACCTGGTCGGCTTCATATGTCATTTGGTGCAGAAAACTTGCAATGCTTCAGCCAGCCAATTCAGTTATGTGCCATCAAAGGTCAAAAACTCCATCTTGGTATATCGGGCTCGCAAAACCCCAGTTTGGTCCCTGTGGGAGTCCTCTGCCCAACGAAGCTCGCTGTCCTGAGAACCAGAAATCTGGGAACCTGACCCCCAGTGATGTTTTCCCCTACCTCTTTCCAATGAGGCTAGGGACTTCTCCCGACAACACTTTGTGGTCCGACTCGAGGCTGGAAATTTTCTCAGCAATAGAGGCGAGCTTGGTCATGGTGGTTGCAATAAACTCCCATAGTTAGGTTGTAAATTCATTTGATATAGGTGTCCAAATCAGAGACCAAATTGTTAAGGGCCTTGGTCAGGGATGTCGTACAAGGACGAGCAGTGAATGTAGAAGAAGAAGAAGAACCGCGGTCTCTCTATTGTTTGTCTGTGAGTGGAGAAGAGATCACAGAGAATAACAATTGTTCTGGTGACTGGTGCGGTTTTTTTGACATCAAGCGCCGATGTCATGTTATGACTTCGCTCGCATCTAAGGTGCTCTGTTTTAGGCTTGAAAATGGATCCTACACCCCCTATAGCCCCCTCTCTTACTCGCCGATTTGCTACAGTTTTGCGATGGGGGGGGCAGCAGACGCAGAGGGGCTATGGATTAGGGGTAGGAACCACTTTTGGGCCCAACATATCACCACAGGTGCCTGATGTCATAATGTGACATCAAATGTTGAAGTCAAAAGAACCACTGATTCTTATTCTACTTCAACGATGATTTAATTAATAAATCTCCCTATAGGTAAAGCCTTAAAGAAAGCTATGTAGATAATTATTAGGAATCCTTTAGGAATATTAATAAAATAACAATACGTGAATCCTTAAGGAATATTAATAAAATAACTATATATCAATACTAAATTACTAATAGGAGGCTTACTATTTCTAATAATAATAATAGGAAACAAATAATAAATAATAACAAAATTTACCTAAATAGGACTACAACATTGAACTTATACCAAAATAGGACTTCCTATGTCTTTAACTCCTAAATAGGAATGTTGCACTGTGTAATGCCAAAAGTTGACATTGTATGGTGGCTTTTCACAGTGTTTTATAGCATTACATATTGATACTCTTTGACATTATAAGTCTTATTTTTGGGACATGAACATAGATGTCTTTTTTGTCTCCTTGCCATGTTTTAGTCCTATTCCGGTCCTTTTCCCTAAATAATCATATCCCTCAAAATAGTAATAGTAATAATAATAACGATAATAATAATAATAATTGGAAACTGATAATAAGAAACCATTAAAGAAACCCTAGGTCCGTAACACAAACAATGCAGGACAAAGGCAATAACATCTAATTTTTAATGTAAGCATTTCCTTGGTGAGCACAGGAAATAAGGCCTTCATACTTCAAATTGCACCAAAACGCCTTTCAGATTTCAGATTCGTGAAAAAAATCAAGTGTACCTCTCCAACATATTCAATTAGAAAACGTCCTTCTGATACAGCTTCAAGCAATTGTAAGCCATATCCCTTCTTGCCACATTTAAACCATTTCAAGTTTGTGTAATTCCGCTTCTGGAACTGCAAGCAGAAACATAAAGATATTCTGACTACTTCCGTGAAGAAATCACAGAGTGTTCCCATGAGATTATATGAACCTGTTGATTTGAACATTGTTCCCCACATGGGCATGTCCCTTGAACACACTCAATATTAAGCATTCGGTTCAAACATCCATCTTCACATCCCATTCTACCATCTGAGGGTGGCTTGCATTGGCAAACCATGACCTAGCAGGAAAAAACAAGTTTATTGATGCTATGGAGTATATGAAAACAACAATGCTGTATTGTCTAATGTAAAGACTGTTAAAAGTCCTATTTTGCAGGAAAGATTTCATTGTGAAAATCTACATAAAGCCTCCAGCAATGATCCAACTCCAACTCATTTTGAGCCCAACCACAAGGAATATTTTAGCCATATCGACTTTGGTAGCACTGCTATGACAACCGCATCAATTGCAGCTGTATTGTCTAATGTAAAGACTGTTAAAAGTCCTATTTTGCAGGAAAGATTCCATTGTGAAAATCTACATAAAGCCTCCAGCAATGATCCAACTCCAACTCATTTTGAGCCCAACCACAAGGAATATTTTAGCCATATCGACTTTGGTAGCACTGCTATGACAACCGCATCAATTGCAATGGATTTTACAAGTTATTCATTCTAACAAATTATGAATAAGTAAATCTGCATTATACAAACAACCTGTCCCTCTAGGTTGCATGGATACGAACGGGGGCGGATGTACTTTGTATGTGTTGGGGTGACATGCCCCCTACTACTTTTTTATCTAATTTTTTACTTTGGTTTTTTAATGTTTAGAGTTATATTATTTATGACCCAACAAAAAAAATATTGGAGACCCCAATTAAAAGTATTAGAAATTTCAATAGATAGTGTTAAGTGAGAAAAAATGAGAAAAGTTAAATATTTAATTATTAAAAGAGTATAATCTTAAAGTCAAATTTTAAAAAAGCACAAAAATAAAATTGATAGTGAAACACTAAAAATATATAATAATTAAACTAAGTTATAATGCAATCTATATATAGAAATTTAATTCTTTAAACTTTTTAATTCACTACTTGAATAATTTTTTGAGGTTAAATTCATTTTTTAATGTTTCGCATTGTTTGTATTAAAAAAAGTCTGGGGTGCTGCCTCCCAGACCCCTGTTTGGCGCCCCCTACTGCCTAAGTTTCTGGATCCGCCACTGGATACGGAAATGGTATCCGCGCCACACTCAAAAAAGGGTACGGACTATACACACATATTCAAAATATATAAATTACTGAGTAAAAGCTAAACCTTCAGGTGATAAATTAGAAAGCATACTAACTTTGACATAAAACAAGCCAAAATAATTGAATGAGAATGATTAAAGAAAAGCTCAAATTGAGAAGAATACTAAAAGTCCTGTAGCTTAAAACTGGAACGTGAGTTCCATGTTGGAGTCGAGTTAGGTGAGGTGTGTGTAACCAAGTGAACGAAAGAAGAGGTAGGACTTTGAAAAAACATGGTAAAAGAAAACAAAGGGTATCCCCCCCCCAAAAAAAACCCCAAAAGCTACATCATTCTTACTAAGCGTAGTGTCCAAAAAGACAAAGCAGTGGCTAGCCGTACCCAGACAAAAGACCGGCAATACCTAGCCAAACCCAACCATACCCAATTCGCATTGTACCATTCATACCCATCCATACCCATGATATACCTAATACCTAGGTGTACCCAACGAGTGCCAGTACCAAAAAGTACCTAATAGGGACAATTTGCAACAATGGAGTACCAACGCTTCATAGTTGACACACTTTGTAAAAATAGAGTACGGATGCTTCATAGTTGACACATTTTTCAATGACTATACAAATTCATCACATACAAAATGCAGCATTTACTCTCAAATAGCGTCTAAAATAACAACAGCAACAAAAAAGAAACAATATAAAAGACCACAATTATGTGGGGCTATGTCTTATACGGAGTACTTAGAGTCATAAGAGCAAGATTTCAGTGTCCATAAAACAGTAAATTCACAATGAAAAACAGACATGTATAGAAACTATGTAAAGTTTATTTATTAACCTCATCAATGGTCTGAGATTTGCGACTACGGTGCAGAAACAAGTTTGACTTGATCAATTTCCAACAGGGGCTCTGATCAACTGCAGTCCATGTAAATAATGAAGAAATGTGGAACTGCTTAGTCAGAAAAGTTCATGCTCTAAGATAAATACATCAAGTGTTATCACTACCATAATCAAATACCTTTAGACTTCTTTCCCGGATGACTGCGACTGAGAGAACAAGAAGCATCCTCATTTTCGGAGACATCAGATATTTCAAGCTCAGCGTTGATTGCTGAATTTGACTTCTCTTGACGAATTGAACAATCAGCAAAGTCTTTATCATTGTTGTCCTTACAGATCCTTTAGAACCAATAAAATGCAAAGAGCATCAGAATTTTGAGGAGTAATGACCAAGGAGCATTGTTCCTTGTATGCATGGTAAATCTAGAACACTCCAATGACCCACTACATTATGATCAGAGCAAAGAAGAAGAAATTCCATATCCATTTGGGAGAGAAACATGGTATGACTGTATATAACTAATGAAACTATGGTTACTATGTTAGGGAATTTAAATCGGTTATGATGGTGTGCGTAACGTATATTAACAGTCTTCTTTAGCTCTCTGCACTAGTGTTTGAGAGTGCACATTGAGGCTAAACCCTGAAGCTCGCCCCTGCTTGCCTCAGTGTTTTTTGGGAGAACGTAGCAATGATAGGAGAAGGTTTATAGAGTGGTCATGGACAACTCTTATATTTGTAGCTAATTACAGGGATTATACTAATCCAAATATGATGTCAAGGATGACATATCCTAAGGTTGCGTCACAGATGATGCCACTGTTCATCATGATGAGATATAAGTTTATTTTATAATCTCATATTCCACACACTCTCTCAAGGTAGAGTCATGGAGCATATAAATTATACTCCCTCTGTCCCTTTTGAATCTTCCTTATTTGACTTTCAAGGTCAACTTTTTTAAACTTAGATTACAAATTACAATAAAAAAACATTGAATTGTGATATAAATTTAATATCAATAAGTTCATTCTGAAACATAGTTTTGAAATATTACATTTTTATATTTTATATCAAACTATAAATAAAGATATTGATGGTCAAGGTATTGCATTGCAGACCACGAAAAGTTACATGAGAATATTCAAAAGGGACGGAGGGAGTATATTCCAAACTTGTTACAAACATGATCAAAACTATTGTCAGTTTGACCATGATTTTATATAGTGATTGTAGTTTTGACTCTAACACTATAGTTTTTTGTCATTGCCTCGTTGGTTTAAGGTAATCACGTTATTTGGAATCACAACTCCCCTCCCCCAAAAAAAACTCCCTGGTACCCCTCCCTCTCCCCCACCCCATTCCATCTCTTAATCCCAAATGATTAGGGTTGGCTACATACACCAATAGAAAATTTCTTCAGGTCATCCACCAATATCATAATTTCCATTTAAGTTCTAAAGCTCCAATATTTTCTTTTTTATCAAACATAAAAGTTCAAGACTAAACCTGTGAATTCCATTCAAAAACCTATTAATTATTCAGTATACAGATATGAGTAAGATAAACACCATTTGCAGTTTGTTTCTTCAATTTGATCTGCAAGTAAAGCTGTTATGCGCCTCCACTTCTGACAATCATCACATTGAACCCATGCACTTCTTGGTGTTACCGGTGCTGCACACTCTTCAATTTGATTTGATAAAAAACCAGGAATTTTGTTTCCAGAAGCAATTTGTCCACAATGAGATGGTGTTTGGCCATCTACAACATTACTTCATGATAATTAATTTGTGAAATGATGGGAAATATGGACATTAAGTGCTTGTTCTGAAAAGGAAGTGGATATAGGTTTGAGAAGTGAGAGTATTATCATGGAAGTGTTATACCTGTTTTTGGATCGTTTCCCAATTCAGTAAGACCCTGAACACCATGATTCTTCTTCATTGCTCCATAATCGCGAGCTGGTTTTCCCTTGTTAGCCTTCTCTTTAGATGAATTTGCTGTGTTTGGTGACTTTAAGACTTCTGACTGGCTCTCCTTTACTCCATTGGATCTTCCTATTTCTAAAATTTTGAGCCCCTCAAGAGAAGAATGTGGTTTTTCAGGCATCTGTAACACCAGTGAACGAGTATCAAGACTACAACAATGATTTCTCTCTCCGCTATCTTCAAACACAGGAACAGAAGACATTCGAAAGTCATCCATTTTAGACAAAGGTTGCAGCTCAATGCTAGACACACTGCGACGTGCATTTTCAGCTGTGGTGACAATAGACGTGTCTTTCTGGTCATGATAAGAGTCATCGCCCTTGATATCTCCTTGTGCGGGTTGTACCAATGTTTGCTCAGTGCTCATAATTTCTGAACTATGGATGGTAGCTTTTACACTGCAATCAACTGTTTTGATAAACTTGTCGTTTTTCTTTTCCTTTGTATGACAGTTCTCCAGCATACAAATACTTTCAACATCTCTACCAGCAACACTTGGTTGGGTTGACATTTTAACACGTAAGTTACCTAGACCATTTAAACTGATATGAGCATCAGTCATGAGATTGATAACTTCGGAATCAGGAGAAGTTCCAGGATTTGAGCACATGTCATCAATGGGTGTTTCTGGTTTGACTGCCTCAGCTTGGGAAGGTGACTCATGACGACTCGCCAAATATTTCTCAGTTGGACTTTCAACAATGCTCTTGCTAGCAAGACATGCATTTGTAACAGAAGCATCATAAAACATAAAAGAACTATCTGAACTTTCATTGAGCCCATTTAACCGTGAACTTCTGTTCAACTTGTCCACAAACAGATCACCAATATTTTCTGAACCTTTTGTTGGTTCATAACAAATAGAAGAATAAGTTTCCTCACCATTTTCAACAAGTGGAAGAATATCCATGAGAGATCGTTGCCCAAATTTTATTTTTAAACAGATGCGAGTCTTTGTCATTGATTTTTGCAAGCTTTGCACAGCCTGATTCTTGCCTTTCTTTTCACTTTTCTGGCAACGCTTTGCTCTTCTTGACTTCCTTTTATCACTTTTAAGTGTCTCAACCCCACCAAAAGCTTGTACCGCATCTCTCAAAGATCCCCAAACAGATGCTCGTGTTTGCTTTCTACATGTGGTTCTTCTCCGACGCATGATACTCAAATTGTCCATATCAAATGCTACTCTTTTAGCTGCTTCCCTCCGGGTATTTCTTGCAGGTTGTTTAAGTTCATTATGCAGCGGTAAACTTTTCTGCCCACACTCGCATGGAGTCATGCATACGATTTCAGAACACTTTCTCTCCATTGCATCATCAGATTTAGGGGAACCTCTTCTTTTCCCATACTTATGTTCAGACAGTTGTGCTATATTTACATAGTCAAAAGCAGTACAAAGCACATCAGTTCCTGATGCATTAACTGAACCTGTCTTTGACAGCTTGTCATCTCTCCCAGAAAATGGTTCAGATGATATGGTAGAGGGTGACAACTTTATAACTGTTGATGATGATTTTCTGTTACAATCACAGACATTTTCACCAACCAATGTCTGAGGAATCATTACAATAATCTCAAAAGTACGAAGTATGAAAAGCTGTGAAAATTGCAAGGGAATATAAAGCTAAGCAATGATCCAACTTTATATTCCCTCTAACATATGGCATAGAGCAACCTTCATAAGATTTCAGCAGCAATCTGTGAAGAACCCAGAAATGGTTATACAATATTTTTGCTGCATCTTACAAGAACTATAAACCAGCATTCCGCATAACTAGTACTGCAGAGTTCAGTCATTAGTGTCTAGATAAACCACAATAATTACCCTACCATGCAATTAGAGGGAGGAAAATATTCGAAATTTACTTAAAACAAATAACTCTTAACCATGAAAATACGGGCCAAAGTCTGATTACATAACAGTGAAGAAACCCAGAACCAACTTATATGTCAATATAGGCACCCAATGGTCCAATAGGATTTATCTTTCATTTTCAAAACTTCAAACGAGTGCAGTGATTTAGCTTTTCTTCTAGTTAATGACATAGAAGCTACAAAATACACTTTGGAACAACTAAAAAGGGAAAAGACAAAAAAAGTGTACTCTTACTAAGGATATGGCATTAGATAGGAACATTTGGAGAAATAGGATTAGAGTAGCTGGGTAAGTGCCTTGAGCTAGAGGGTGTTGTTGTTGTGTGCTTTGTAGGCCTTTTATGCTTAGTGCTTTTTTCTACTTGCTTGCTATACTCTCGTTTCGTAGCTTTATTTAATATAGCTTAATTTTAGTTCTGTGTGCTTGGTGCTTTATTGCATTGTAGTTGTGCTTTTCTTGTTTTATTAATCTATTGTGATCTTTTTAAGTGCAGCTTGAGCCTGGGGTCTCATGGAAACAGCCTCTCTACTTTCGGGTAGGGGCAAGGTCTGCGTACATACACCCTCCCAGACCCTACTCTCGTGGGATCCAACTGGGTTGTTGTTGTTGTATACCAACAATAGTGCTTCAATAACATGTCCAATTGCAAGCAGCCCAACCCAGTCCAACCTCTCAGATTGAACCGTTCAAAGGCATCACATTATGAAGAAGAAAGGAGTGAACTTCCATATGGAACTAAATACTGTAACGTCATGTACCATTTTGAGATAAATTTAGGCTATAGCTGATAATGGGAGTCTAAGAACGTGCAATCATAAGGAGCAGGCTAGCTTTCTCACAAGTCACACCCTACTGGATTGGAGCATCAAGATAAACCACCTCATGATGCGAAGCTCCATTTTACTAAGATTTTCGCTTTTAAAAAAAAACTGAACCATGAGAACTTGCTAAGCTGATCTTAGCACCCCCAAAGAAACCCTTAAATCCACTCCTCCGAAACCAATATCTATGACAGAAGTGCATACAAAATAAGAAAAAACAATATTTGAACAAGTCTATAATCACATTCATGCAAATCAATAGGGAATTACATTAAAAATAAGAACAGACAGAAATCATACCTGGGGAAGAAGAACGCGTGGAAAACAATCAACCGCTAATAATTTAGAGACTTCGCGTGCAAGAAAAAACAAAAATTCGGAATCAGGATATACAGGATGGAGATATGAATGCGTGTGTATGGTTTTAGAGAGAGGATGGGGCGGCGTGAGGGGCTGGATGTGAAACCATGGCCGCGAGTTAGCAAACGGATTTTAGAAATCAGAAGGGAGGGGGGGTGGGGGTGATTTGAATGAAGAAAGAGTTTAATGGAAGGGATTCTTTGACTTTTCTATACGGAGTATAATTTTGACTTCCCAAATTTCTACTCCCTAAAATCTAAAGCAAAAAATTGCTACCAGTTACTCCGGTTTTGTAGTAAGAATTCTCAGGTACTTCTAATTTTTAAAATATACTCTCAAGTATCCTGAATTATAAAAAAATATACCAAGAAGAGATTTTTCATCCATTCTCCGTCTATCCCATTTTATCTGTCAAGTGCGCCATCATCACCATCGTCCGTCCACCGCCACGATCACCATCTTCATTCTTCCTCCTCTTGTTCTTCATTTTCTTCTTCTTTTTCTTTTTCTTTTTCCACTTCCTCTTCCACACCCCCACCCCTCACCCTTATTTCTTCTTCTTCTCCTTCTATCATCATCATCATCATCATCATTATTACGATTATTATTATTATTATTTAGTTGTTTTACTACTATATTTTTAAGAAAAATAACACTAACGCTCCCATCAAAAAATTGTTTACTCTATTAATCTTTCACAATCTCCATTAATGTAAAAAAAAAATTATTGTTTGGTACCCCTAATTTTGTGCTTAGAACTGTCGGGCACCTTCAATTTTATAGTGAAACTATTAATAAATTTTAAAAATAATAATAATAATGAATAATAATAATAATAATATAAGAAGAAGAAAATATAACTTAATAATAATAATAATAAATAGTAGAGGTAGAAGAAAATTATACTTTGTAATAAATAAATAATAATATTTAGTTTTAATATTAAAAAATTATTAATATTAATTTTTAATATTAAAAATAATAATTTAGAAGAAGAAAATAGTACTTTGTAATAAATAATAATAATACCTAGTAATAAAAAGAATGATGGTTTTTGATAACAAAAAAAGAATGATGGTGATGATACTAACAATAACAATAACAATAACAATAATAATAGTAATAATAATAATAATAATAACAACAACAACAACAACAATAGAAGGAGAAGAAGAAATAAAGGTTGAGGGGTGGGGGTCTGGAAGATTGGAAGTGGGTGGAGGAGAAGAAAAAGAAGAAAGAAAAAGAAAGAGAAGAAGAGGATGAGGAAGAACGAAGAACTGGGATGGTGGTGGTGGTGATGATGATGATTAATTTGACGGACAAAATGGTGTAGACGGAGAAGTGGTGGAAAGTATCCTCTCGATAAGTTGTTTTTTAAATTTAGGGTACCTGAGAGTATATTTTGAAAATTAGGAGTATCTGACAGTTCTTACCACAAAATATGAGGTACCCGGCAGTAATTTGTTGAGATCGAAAGTGCATATTAATATTTTTAGTGTTTTTTATTAGAAAAATTATCATCATTAATCTCACCTGTATCTGCTCTTTTAAAAATAATCTTACTTTTCCGAGTGATCAATAATAAGCTAAGATTGTACACTTTCTCTGGGAATTGGGCATCCATTTAAAGCTTAGCCCTTCAGTTACGATAGTCTGACTTAGTCAAACGTTAGCTTTAAACGGATACCCAATTCATACAGAAAGTGTATAACCTTGGCTTATTATTGATCACTCAAAAAGGTAGGATTATTTTATTAAAGAGCGGACAAAGGTGGATTATTGGTGATACTTTTTTTACTTTTTCTAGTTTTTTTGAGGTCTGTCAAATATGATTTGAATATATCTAAATAGATTTGATCCGAATGAATGTAATTTGATTAACATTAAAATTAATATCACCTTTGTCCCTAAGAATTTGTCTACTTTTAATTATTTTTACAGCCAACTAATTTCAACTTCTCATTTACAATTATATAAAATATATACAAATCTAATAAATTGAGTATTATTTTATCAACATTTAGGCTCTGTTCCGTTCAACTTATTTTTTCTAATCTGATCTGATTTTTTGTAGTTCTGATCTCATCTGGTCTGATCTGATCTGATTGAATCTGATCTGGTCTGATCTGATTAGATCTAATCTGCTCTGATCTCATCTGATTGGATCTGATCTGATTAATTATGATTTGATTTAAAATTCAAATCAATAATTTGATCTGAGTTTATAATAACGTTTGAAAATTGTAATGATAATTCATATTATAATATAATCAATATTTTTATTTTATAATTATTTTTTAATAAAATAAAATTAGTTAATTTATATATTAGAATAATCATTCATATTTTAATGTAATAATATTTTTTATTTTATGATTATTGTTTGTGAAATAAGAATATTGATTTAATATTTTAATAATTAGTTCATACATAATTAGAATAAATATTTAATTTATATGAAACCAGAAGAGATAGTATTTTTATTAAAATATCTCATCCTTATAAAAGATCAAAACTTTAGAAACTCAAATTACAGGTAGCAATAAAAATGTATTTTAAAGGTAGAATCAGATTGACATTGTCAATGTATTTTAAAAATAATTGTTTTGACGTCTAATAATTAAGAATTAATTTCTCAGTTTTCTATTTAACTTGTTTCTAAAGTTTACTTTTTTTCATTTTTAAGAAGAAGAAGAAGAAGAAGAAAAAGAAGAATAATAATAATAGTAATAATAATAATAATTCTTAATGTGATCTGATCTGATCTGCTCTGGTTGGATCTGATCTGAATAGATCTAGTCTAGTCTGATCTGATTTGTTCTCTGATCTGATTTTAATAAGAATAAGAAAAAATAAGAAAAAATAGGTTGAACGGAACAGAGCCTTAATATCATTTTTATTTATTCAGTGATCAAAATGCATCAGTTTTAACTACAAAAAGGTTAAAACTATACAAATATTATGGACAAATGTAGTAGAATAATTTAACTACTCCCTCTGTCCCTAAATAAACTTACTCTTTCGTTTTTTCTTTGTCCACAAATAAACTTTTCTTTTCCCTTAAAAACCTCCTTTTACCCCTTACTTTTTCATACTCTACCTATCACATAATACTTTTTTACTAATAATCTACATATCACATCTTACTTTTACACATCACATCAAGGGTATTTTTGGAAAATCAACACAAAAATATCCCTCCCTTAAATCCTCAAAAAGTCAAAAATGGAAGTTTATTTAGGGACGGAGGGAGTAGTTTTTATTACAAGAATCTTTTTACTCTAGCTAAAAAGGGCCCGAGAATGACTCAGCATTTTAGAGCACATATGGTACTTCGTTGTTAAAATTGTTGGTTCATATCATCCTCTTCCCTCCCTCCCCTAACCCAAGATCGCGTCTATTTGGTCTAGCCAAATCGATGTTCTAGCAAGGGAGAAGGGTGAAAACCATTAATTTAACTAATGGTGCACCATACACCACAGTTGCTCGAGGTCATTCTAAGATTGAAACAGCTCGGGTGATAAAAACCTTATAATTTACTTTAGGGTCTTTTTAACAATACAAGAACCAATTATTGAAAAATATAGATGCTATATTACAAAAATGATAACAATTGTATTATGCGTGCAAATCAATTTAGAAATATAGATGTTGTACAAATCGTGTTAGAAGTTGTGCTAACATAGATGTCCCAAAAAATTTCACACTTTATCTATCTATTTTAAGAAATGTATATATACTTCTGACATTTCTTTTTTTTTCGATTAAAAAAAAGAAATGTATGGAGTATATATATAGTCTAAAGTACTCTCTCCCTTCAAAAACAATTTAACCACTTAGTCTCCGTCTCTCTCTTCTATTTTAATTGTTCGGTTCATTTTTTGAATTAAATGTTTGACTAGTATTACTTCAGTCCTTGACTATTTGTCCAGTTTTAACATTTTGGAGTAAACAATTTGATCTTTTGACCTATAATTAAATAAAATATATATTGTTTACTAACTATATAAAATAATATTTTGAAAATATTTCATAAAATAAATCTAATAAAATTATTTTGAACCAATACCTAATATTACTTTTATTTAAATTAAGGTCAAATTTTACCAATTTTGATATAAAAAAGTCAAAAGTAGACAAATACTCTTGAGCGGAAGAAATAATATCTTTCAAAATATATTACTCCGGGGTAGTAAAAACATTAAAATATTATACTCCGTATTAAAAGTATTTGAGCAAAATATATTAGTAAAAACATTAAAATATTATACTCCGTATTAAAAGTATTTGAGAAATGAGTGTGTTAGGTTGACAATGGATCAACACATACATAGGTCATAGGGTGGGTTAAAATTTGAGGCATAATTTGGGTTATACTTTATTTGAGGCATTATTTGGGCTATACTTTATCAATAAAAACATATTCTAAAAACAAACAATCAATGTACTCCGTAATTTACAACGGACAAAAAAGAAAAACACATACTCCTTATGTCTCAAATTTGATTACAAATTAAGATTTACGAGGTAAAATCATGTATCTTTTGAAATTATTTTATTTATAAATTGTTACATCAATTAAAAAATAAAAATTATATATTAAAAAACTATTTCAAAAGTTCTACAAAATAAGAGGTGACAAGAATATTTTATTTTTATAAATAATCAATGAGAATACACAAATGAACAAAAGTCATCCAGAGGTGAGAGAAACATTGTAATCAAAATTGGGATGGAGAGAGCATATTAATTTCTTGTGTTTGAAAATTCGCAAAAATTTACACAATATATATAAAATAGTTCAAAATCACTTTTGTACTGATTTAATTTAAGATATTGTGGGCACAAGGTGCTTGTAGTGTCTAACAACTATAGGTATTTCTAGTTAAAGACTAGAGTTTGAACTTGTTCTATTCATCTGATCTAATTGATTTTGATCTTAATGAAATAAAATTTGATATAATCGGGATGTAGTTATATTAAAAGTTGTTTCCAATCTGACCTCATTTCAATAAGAATAAACTAAAGAGAACAGACTCGTTGTCACCAAAAATTTATGCCATATACATTTAGCATATAGACATATATTGAGCATCCATGTGATAAAAAATAATGACATTGTACAATACCCAAGTAATATATACTCCATATCTATAAAATAGATTATGAGTCTGTT